GATCATCAATAAAAGTCACGAAGTATTGCTTCCCACCAACGGATGTGACAGTCATTGGGCCCCAAACATCGGAGTGGACGAGCTCAAGCTTCTCCTTCTTTGGGGTTCTTCTACTTGTCTGAAAGCTGACTCTCTTCTGCTTTCCAAGTATACAGTCTTCACACATGTCAATTTCTATTGACTGGAGACCTGGTAATTTTCATTTTGAGTGAATGATCTTCATCCCTTTTTCACTCATATGCCCAAGTCTTTGGTGCCATAGATTGGGACTTTCATTTGCTGCAACTGCAATCAGATGACATACTCCTGTGGTCTTGTAAAGAGTACCACTCTTTTTGCCTCGAGCAATTGTCATTGCACCCTTTGAAATCTTCCAATCATCACCATGGAAGATTGTTGTGTAGCCTTCACTGGCTAGCTGGCCCACAGAGATTAAATTCTTAGTCAGGTCGGGAATATGTCTGACATTTTTCAATTCCCAAACAGACCCGTTCAACTTGATTTTTACTGCACCTTTGCCGACAACCTCACAAGATTGCTCATTACCAAGGTAAACTTTACCAAGATTTCCAGGAACATAATTCTCGAATAGTTCCTTCCGTGAGGTAGCATGAAAGGATGCTCCAGAGTCTAACACCCAAGACTCTTCTCTGTTCTCCAAAGAACATATCAGCGTGTCTCCACCTGAGACTGAAGCAATATTTGCCTCTTCTTTTGTCTCCTGACCTTTCGGTGCACTCTTGCACTGATTTCTGTAGTGCCCGGTCTTCCCACAATTCCAGCACTCGATCGACTTCGAGTTTTGGGAATTACGATGATTTTTGGACCTGGATCTTCTTCCCTTTGGTTTGATATGTCTGCTTTCTTTGGTTGAAATTCTTCCTCTCGTTTCTGTATGCAATACAGAAGAGGTTGATGGTTCACCCGACTCCCTCCGCCGGATCTCTTCACTGAGAACCAAATTTTGGACATCATCAAATCTCAACTTATTGCTTCCCGATGAGCTACTCACAGCTGTGATTGTAGCATTCCAGCTTTCTGGTAGGGAAGACAAAAGTATTAAAGCCCGTACTTCATCATCGAACTCGATCCCAACTGAACTCAACTGGGTTGTAACAGTGTTGAGCTCATTGAGATGATGTGCCACCGGAGCACCTTCGGTCATCCGTAGGTTGAACAATCGCCTCATCAAATGAACTTTATTTGAGGCTGATGGTTTCTCGTACATGTTGGAAAGCGCCTTCATGAGGCCTGCTGTCGTCTTTTCTTTTGCAATGTTAAAAGCAACATTACGGGATAACGTCAGCCGAATGGCTCCAAGGGCCTGTCTGTCAAGGAGACTCCATTCTTCCTCCTTCATGTCTTCTGGCTTCTTTCCCGTGAGTGGTTGATACATATTCTTCTGGTACAGATAATCCTCGATCTGCATCTTCCAGAAGCCAAAGTCCGCACCATCGAACTTTTCAATTTTCATTTTTCCTTCGTCTGCAGCCATCACTTCGACTCTGATCTGACTTCTCTGCCGATCGTTTCTGTAATTTTTGTGAACTACCGTGTTTCAGAACACGTCGGTAGATAAATTTGTAGCGCCGACAAATTTGGAACTATTCCCGTTTTTCACTATTCACGGAATAGTAACCGACACAAAAAAAATACAGAATTAACAATCTGGCTCTGATACCAGTTGTTGGGAAAAATACGCTGAAATTTCCATGAAGTCGGATCTATAAAAGTGAAATAAAAACGAAAAATTGGACACACCAAATTGATAACGGAGTTCGGCCAATAATGCCTACGTCTCCGGACTACTGCAGATATTTTATTGGAAAAAAGAAATACACTCGTGTTTACAAAACACTCTCGAAACCACTCACAACTCACAACTCAAATACACACAGAAGCTAAAACTGCTCCCTTTCTTTTCTCTCTTTCTCTCTGTATTTGTTGTATTTCTGTTGTTGTTGTGTTTTGTTCTTCAGATTCACCCTCAATTTATAGAAGGGGGAGTGCACCATAATTTCAACAAAAGGATGCTTCATTTTCTCCAAATGTGTGCTGTCAAAATGGGTGGGTGGCTTTCTTTTTTTTTTTCAACAGCCGGGTGCTCCTCCAATTTGTCAAAGAAATTGGGCTTAAAAATTTGTTGGGCTACTTTTCAACAAACATCTCTCGGGACTTCATCAACATTGTAAGCAAATTTCTCCTAAATAAATAATAATGTTTTCAGTTTGTATTTTCAATGTCCTTTTAAGTGAGTATTCTATTGTTCTAACAATCTAAAATTTAAGTGAAATTCTTTTTTTCATATTTTGTGTCCCCATAACATGTCAATTGAGATTTGAATATATCAAATTTTAGGTTTTGTTAAGAGCTCTATTTTATATATGGTCTGCAATATTTTGATTTTCTCCTATAATTGAAATAAAGTGAGAAATATATCTATCATGTATAATTTAAAAAGTAGTATTCACATATGTATAAAATTATTCTGGAAGCACAATAGAAAATTAAATTTGCATTTTAACATATCTTGAAAGCACAAGTTTCACCTCTAGCAGTTAAATTTGCATGCATTGAGTATTTTTAGTTAAGAAAAATATATTGAAATCAAACAATCTCATTTTATTAGCCTCCGTATAATCTTAAAGTAATATAAGTTTTGTGTTGGCAATTATTTTACCTGTTGACAAACAATAGCATTTTACAAAACAATTTCTTTGCCTTTTTGTGTTTTTGTGTTTTTTCATAATTTACTTTTTTTTTTTTTTTATATATATATATATATATATATATATAATTGTCCAACGAATTATTAGCAAGTGTTTACATCATTATTGGCTGAACTTTAATGGTATATTTGTACTTGAAGAAATTTCATGGATATATATGTACCTTGTAACTAACATTAGGGGTATTTTTGACTTATTTCCCTTGATAAGATTTTAAAAAATAAATGATGGGTATAGTTTTTGGGAGATGTTACAGTCTCGTTATGGAATCATTCCGTCGGAGTTTGTAACCGTTAGATCAGCATTTAACTGTCGGGAATAGATGATCTAATATTACAAACCCCGACAAAATAATTTCGTAACGAGACCGTAGCGTGAGTTTTTTTACTTTTCATTTGTTTTTCCATTTTCTCTTCAACTCTAGCAACAATTAAACTAATTAGTAGTGGTTATATTACACAAGTGTTATTTAAAATTATTATATTAATAAAAAATCCTAAACATTATATGTGTTTTGAATTTTAAAATAAATATTACACTTATAATTTTATTTTTTAGTTTTTTTTTTCGTTATTTGGGATATAAAACACATTTCGTTATTTTGCGCTAGGCCTGGGACCGGTCCGGTTCTTATCTTTTTTTTTTTCAAGAACCGGAATTGGAATCAAAACAAAAAAACCGGTTCGGTTAGTGATATAGCCACACTGTCGTATAACGGTTTGTTTTTTAACGGTTCGGTTTTTTCGGTTATTAGGTTAACCGAATAACAAAAAATAACCGACAAAAAAGGTTTTGAGTTAAGAATCGGTCAAAAAAATGCAACTCACGGACTAAAAATATCTTGAAAAACCGAGAACTGAATACAAAAATAAAGAACCGAATATTAAGTACAAGAACCGGAACCGATTTATACATATAAACATATCAAACATGAATATTTTCACATATATAACCGGTTCCTCGGTTAATACCAATACTCTTGGAAAGGAACCGGGAACCGGAACCGGAACCAGAACCGAAAGCATGCAAAAATAACCGAACCGAAAAAAAAGATTTTTTTTTAAAAAAAAAAAAGTTTTTATTTTTGGTTCGGTCCGGTTCGGTACTCCGGTTCTCGGGTATAAAATCTCACCCCCATTTTGCGCCACATAGAGTTGTGCGCGGCCGCCGGAAAAGTGAAATCCAACACTCAGGCGGACCGCCACCTCCGATTCCGGCACTAATTCCGGGAATACGATGTTAGATCTGGACAACTTCGGCCAGAAAACTGCTCCGTCGCCTGAATTTAGGCGGTTCATTATTCGCAGTATTTACACACGGCGGTCGGATTTATTGCACGTATTATTCTCTGCTCTAATGGCGGTACTTGATATTTGACTGCGAAATCGCACATACAAAAGGTATGGCGCCTTGACATTGACCCTGCTTTGTCAGATTGGTTTCATGATTATGTCATTCTACTTGTTTTCCTTGCCTAATTCCATGGATAAGTAGAACTGTTTAGTATCAACTCTCAAAATCAGCTTGCTTAACTATGAGCATGTTCAAAGCTTGTGCACTAATCTTATTGTTGATTGGCTCGTATAATTTTATTTTCTGTATTTCATATTTAATGGGCTGTTTACATAGTGTCGAGATTCGATGATATTAAGGTTTTTTTTGGGAATCAGATTGTGGCTTGTAAGTGAGATGTCTGGTGGATTATGAGTTCTTTAGATGTAATGTTGCTATTTTATGTATTCAGAAGGAAATGTTTACCGTAGAGACAGATTGAAGAAAAATGTGAGAAACTGTGAATGTCAAGTTTGGTTGGGTAAATTTCATATTTCACCTGCATTTGTGCCTTTCGATTTCGGATGGAGAAAAGTCTGCGGCTCGTCTGTTGGAGATACTATTTCCCAGCAAAGAAAATTAAGCTTATGCTGGTAATGTTGATGTTATACTTGCTAATTAGGTTGAACAAGGAGGATCTTTTAGTTTTGAATTCGTACAGATGACGATTATTAAGTAGCTCCTTATTTTTACATGATTTTTTCGATTTCTCTCATTAATGGGGATTTGTTTTCATTTTACTGTTTTCATTAGATTATAACGTGAAGCTTTTTTTTTTTTGTTCGACCAGCCGATTTCACGCCAGGTAATACAGTTGTATGCAACTCAACAGAGGAACATTTTGAGCCACTACAGTTTCGTAAGCTTATGCACAATTTCTTAGTCACTTCCCCAAGAAAAACAACTCCTCAACGAATGGAAAAAAAAAAAAAAGGATCATTACTTGACCGGAAATCCAATTACCGACTCACGACTATCTCGCATTTCTTGCAGGTAAGAGACATCGGAAGTCAAGTCCCTCAGAGGACAAACAAAGCCATCTGAACCTTCAAGCTTGACCGCAACATTGACCACGCCATTACCTCTTGAACCATCTCTAGCCCTTAGCCGGTAACTCAAGAAATGAACCAAACCAACTGGGGAAAACCGGCTCACGATATCAGCAGCTGGAATCAGACACCAACCCAGTTGAGTCCGGCCCATCAGAAAATTCTTGGTGTAAAGCCGAAGGTAAATTCCCGGGCACCTCTTGTTTACTAAGAATTGTTCAAACGGTAGCCGGAACTTGTCGCCCCACGAGGGGTTAATCCCTCCTTTATCGTCTACCCTGGTTTTGTACGTTTTAGCGTTTATATCGTTGCTTAGTGTAATGAATGGCCGAATATGGCGGGAGAAGACCGTGGTGGAAGTTGACTTCTTGAGGTCTTGAGCCGATATTATAGTGATTTCTAAAATCGAGCGATGGCTACTTTGCTGCATGATTGTTTTTTTTTTTTGGTTTTTGTGAGGTTTGTGGAAATGGTTGTGTTTGTTAGGTGTTAGAGTTTGTATAAGTGATGTTGAAGGGGAAGATTGAGGGAGATTTCTTGGGACTTTCTTGTGTTGCCCACAGGCCACAAGGCAACTTCTTGTGTGGAAAATTTTGCGGCTGGGAAAGTTAAATTGGACTGACTATAAGTGTTTTTAAAGTTTTGTAATGTATAAAGTAGATATAAAGCACACAAACTGTATGGGTACATGTTGACAAATTGTTGGAATATCACTTGTGAGTTGGAATATCACTTGTGAGTTGTCCTACATTGATATGGTAAATAAGTCTTGTGTAATTAATGCTTAAAAAATATTTTTAATTTTTAATACTAATAATATTTCATTTACAATACTCTAAGGTAGGATCGAGCATCGGCATCGACTATGATGTAGTTTTTCTACCTTAAAATAACTGCTACATTTTTTTGTTTTTCTTGGTGTAAGTAAAGGTTATTTTTTCAGGGAAGAAGATAAGTGAGGAAGATTCCATTCATTCCCAGAGTATTAAGCCCTGCCATGAACTGAACTGCAAGTAAGAGATTCAGGAAGGAAAATGATTCAAAATACATTTGTTCCTACCATCCAACTATATTCTTGTTGTAATTTATGAAAGTACTTTGTTTAGAATTTAGAATTTGATACTACATCTGTTGTGAAATTTGGCAGTGGAATTGCAATTAAGTTACGATAATTTTTGCGTTTTCTGTTTTGTGTAAAATGTTCGTTTCGTTTTCACCGTTTTGTGTAAAATGTTTGTTTCGTTTTCACCTTTAGGCGTTTACGCGGTTACTTTGGAACTTCTGGTATTTCAAGAATTGCTACAAATGCTTGCAGAATCTTCGTTTGTTCTTCTCTTTTTTTGTGGGAAAACACAAAATCACAATAATCCTTGGATTTTTTTTTTTCTTTTTATTGAAGAGATTTAAAATCAGCACACAACACAGCAGTCAGATGAATACATTGCCCTGGAAATAAGTGGCAAAAAATTGTGAAAAAAAAGGTAAACACTCAAAGCGATCGTATGATTTAATGGTTTCGAGCTTTTCCTCGATTTCTGATTCAAGGCTTGGACTGGTATCCATATGGGTTCTGACTCGCCCACTTCCATTGATCTCTGCACATTTCATCTATACCGTATTTCGACCTGGAAAAAAAGACATTGACAAAGTGTACACATTTATCTTAAATCAGATTGCAAAAAAATCTTGGTAATGATGGAAACTGAAAAAAAAAAAAAGAAAAAAAAAACTTACTTCCAACCAAGCTCCTTTGCAGCTTTGTCGATCGAGGCGTAAACAGCTGTTGCATCTCCTGGCCTTCTCGGACACAATTTAATCGGGATTTTCTGTTAAAAAAAAGAATAAAAAGCAAAAATAATAATAATAAACTCCATTAGTCGAGAACTAGTCGTGCTCAGAAAGATCGGATGAGGAAAGAGACTCGCCTTGTTGGAAGCCTTTTCAAAAGCAGCCACCATTTCAAGAACCGATGTGCCTTGACCTGTCCCCAAATTGTATGCAACACAACCTAGGATAAAACGAGCATTTGTCACATGAATGAGTATATGAACACAAGAAAACATTGTCAAATTGACAAGCTGGAAGAAGAAAGAAAAGATATTGAGAATGACAAAAATAATAATAAAGGATTTAATCACCTATGTCTTTTTGTTCCAGAAGCTTCTCGAGTGCAACTACATGACCATCTGCTAAATCCATAACATGGATGTAGTCTCGAATCTGTTAAAAAGAAACCCGTCAAACACATTAAACTACGAATTGCATTATTCTTCACAAATGTCTATCCGACATAATCTTCATCGACGAAATTTGGAAGGTAACACAAGATTGGCTAATTTAGCATATCATGATTGCATATTCTACCATATAATATAATATGTTAAAATAATTCGGAAAAAAAGGTCTAATTTTATACCGCACTGCCATCGGGTGTGGGATAATCATGACCGTAAACGTTTAACTCAGGTAATCGGCCGACAGCCACTTGTGTTATATAAGGCATTAGATTGTTGGGTATCCCCTTTGGATCTTCACCAAGCATTCCGCTCTCGTGGGCCCCCACCGGGTTGAAATACCTTAGCAAAATAATCCTCCATTCGGAGTCAGCCTTCTGAATGTCCCGAGCAATTTCTTCAAGAAAGAGCTGTTGGAATTGAAAATAATACTTTTTTATCATCAACAATGAACTCACACCGCATTTTCTCTTTTATTCGAACTAAAAGAATGAAAAATAATATGCAATTGTAAATATGGCGAAGCACAAACCTTTGTGCGGCCATATGGATTCATAGCCTTCAATTCCGAATCTTCCACACAAGGGATTTTTTCAGGTTGTCCATACACTGTGGCGGATGAAGAAAAAACCAGCTACAAACAAGAAAAATCAGGATTTCAAACTGTAAAATTCACAAGATTAAAAAGAATATTAGATGAAAAGCTCATTTAAATCAAAGCAAGATGCACACCTTCTTACAATTATACTTTGCCATTATTTTGTACAGATTAATCGATCCATATAAGTTGTTATCGAAATATCTCATTGGGTGAGCTACACTCTCGCCAACGGCTTTCAGCCCGGCAAAATGGATCACCGCATCAAATCTGTATAAAATGTTTCATCAAGAAGATTCGACCCGAAAATTATATACATGAGGAACAATCATATAAAAACCAACATAACCCACAGCACATTTTGCTTAACAAAGGAGGAACATCAAACACACCATTCTGAAAATCAATTCGGAAACTTAAAAAAAAAACACTGATTATACAATACAATATTTACTTGGTCTGTGAAAACAATTTCTCCAAATCCTCCACATTTCTGATATCACCCTGCAAAAGCAAGGCAAAGAATTCAGAACTCCTTGAGAATGTGGAAATGAAACTATTTCAATGTGAATTTTCTACCGTCACTGAACGTAGGTCACGAAAATTCATTCAGAATCCTCCCAACATAACTTGATCACTATATTACTAACAACCACTATACTCGAATAGTTTTTGAAACTGTCAAACCAGAAAGGGGTATGTTAATTGTCAAAGCAACCCAGAAAAAGTTCAAATTTACACCAAAAAACCCTCCAACAGTTGGATATGGCAATATTTACAACATCCATGTGAGATTGCAAGATATCACCGCTAAACCAGAAAAATTTGCAAGAATAATCAATCAAACAGTTACAGAACAACAAACCCAACATATCATTTCACAAGCTAACCAAAAACACTACAAATAAGACCAATTCTTGAAAAAAACACCACCGTTCGGTCTTGGGTTAATTGCAAAACAACCCAGAAAATGTTCAAATTTACAACAAAAGCTCTCCAACAGATTAATTTTGCCATATTTTCAACTTCCACCATATGAGATTGCAAGAGTATCAACACTAAACCAGAAAAACTGCAAGGACATTCAATCAAACAGTTACAGAACAACAAACCCAACATACCAATCATCTCACAAGTTAACCAAAAACACTACCACCAACAAGGCAAATTCTTGAAAAAATATCAAAAAGACCACATAAAGAAGGAACAAGAATCGTGGGTACCAAATGAAAGTCTAGATTCTGGGAGAGGTGGGGCCCGGCCAGCTGCCTGAGCCGGTGGACGGCCTCCTCGACCGCATTGTCGAGGTTGTCGACGATCGAGACCTTAAAACCCTGCTTCAGAAGCTGCAGCACCGTGTGCGTGCCGATGAAACCAGCTCCGCCGGTCACCAAGATCCTACCTTTTTCATCCACCGCCATACGGAAGGGGCGCTTTTCCTGCGAGTGGGTGTTGAACTGTTGATGGGTCAATATCGAGAGGAGGGAGAGAAAGATCTGGAGAGAGATAGAGAGAGAGGGGGGAAGTTGAGGAAATCAAGGAAATGTTTTTCTTGAATTAAGTGTAGATAAGCATAATCTGAAATGAAGATGAAGCCTTCTGCTGCAGGACATAATAAAAGGTGTGGGCTTGCCTTGCTTGCTAAAGGATTATTTTTTATTATAATATTTGTTGCTTATGAAAGAAAAATACAAGGCAACTATAATAATTTATTTTGAATTACGAAAAATGCCATGCTCCCGTTATGATGGTATTAGATAAGTAGATAGTGTAATGGTTAAAACCACTCGACGAGACTCAAAAGCGTTTGGATGAGATGGCTTGGATCTCTTTCAGTTTATTTAGTGATCTCGTGTTCGAGCCCTGGGAATGCAGCAGTGTTAAAAATTCTTGGGGGAGAGCTTTGCCGCCCTTGTAGTCCTACCCGGCTCGATTCCGGATTAGTCGGTTCCCATAGGGATCCGGAAACCGAAAGAT